ACTTAGGTTCTGAATTATTGCGTGGAAACGCTTTTCGATAAAAATCAATGAAAATTACCTTAGGATGATAAGCGATTAATATTAGAGTTAGGTTGGTCGAGTATACAGCAATAACTCGTATGCTTTTAGTTCCTCTTTCAGCAAAGATATGCGATTTGCACCAGATTCCCAAGGCAAAATGAGGTTAGATCTCTTGTGTGAAATGTTTCCGCAGAATATATATATAAAGTTTTCCTAGCGTGTGAGCACTTTTGACTCAAAACCACCCATAAAATATGCTTCAACTTTGAACATGGCAATGTCAAGCCTTAAACAACAACAACTATGGTGCTATTCCTTTTAGGATAATCAAATGTTATAGAATAGAATGATATGCATTAGAAAATATAGACGCAGATGTTAAACTTTTCGCGACCAAACTTTACTGGTGTAATTTTAATTGCATGTACAATTGTTTTACTCAATGACTTCATTTCATCACACTGTGTTTTCGCCTATATTCAATTTTCTATTTGTATAAATATTGGCGTAGTTCATACAGGGTGTATGCGTCCAAGCCCCCGTCTGCGATAATTCAAGCGTTTGTTTAAAGCGTCCTGGGAAACGAAGTAACATGTCTTTAGCAAACAAGATTTTTGAGTATTAAAACAGCTCGCCGCTGTGTCCTTAATGGGATCAACGTCACCTTGGCCGAGAGAAAATTCTTGTGCTTACCTCGAGTGTGGTAAAAAGTAACAAACGGCGTACGTATCGTACAGGAAACCCTTAGCGCACCCGTCCCTCGCGCGATAGCAAGGGGAAAAATTTAGACGCTTCGAAAAAACGGATGAAAAATAAGTCTACTATACTGAAGCTGATGATTTTAGGCCTGCAACCTTGCTTCTTTGATGCGGAAGTACATGATTTAGGAAAGATTAATACCACGCAACACTGATATTTAAATGTTGTCGAAGGATTTCGACTCTCAATTGACAGATGCGAGACTGGTCGGGATTTCGACGAGTGAATTCTGACGGAAATATTTCGTGCGTTATAAACATATATTACCTGGCAACACGCCATGGTCTAATATTTTCACCATCTACCACCAAGCTGACTAATCGTGACTTAAATAGACACATCTATACCACCAGGCAATTGAATCGATAGACAACGCTTTTTTCCAGATTTCCAGAAGAGTATTCACGCACAAAGCAAGTATCTTTGTTACCCTGTAGTCATTCCGTCTACTCGCCCGACTAAATTTTCAATTAGGCAGATATATTTTAAATGCTTAAGGATACTTGTGAGTTATACTGAGTGGAAACTTATGATTGTGTCGTAATATGTTTATTAGCATAATTAGCGGTAATGGACATTTCGTGAGGAAACGACGCTGAATGAATGTGAAAATTAATGGCTGACATACGGGGCGTGGTAGAAAGCATTAAAAAACAAATATAATTGCTGTCTGTCGTACGAAAATTGATATTAAGGACAATCAACTTTTGAGTCTAGATCTTACCTAGGCGACAGGTTTCTGAGCTATCATTTTGTAATAGAATGTTTATTAAAGTAGGCAGGCGCCATACAAGCGATGGTAGGATTAGAATATTGCTTCTGAATGCATCATGTAACTTTTTTTAATATTTCGTGTTAATGGTTTTGTGTGTTTGACAATAACCATCACCCGGGATTATTACAGGATTTTCATCTCCGCTTCTTAAACTGATATCTCGTGAATGAACTACTGACGTTCTCAATAAATCGTTATCGTCTCACTATTTCTCTTTAAACCTTTAACATTGCTGTTTCATTCAACCTTTTCATAATCTTGAGTAAGAAAATATGTGAAAATATTAAATTATTAAAACCGTTCTCTGTTTCTAAAATTTCGATACAAGTCATCGCAAAAACCGCTGGTTTTTGTAACAACGGCATTTTAATACCAGATGCGCGCATAGGAGTTCAGATATCTTTCGTAAACTGACAACTGGGCGTGTGTTCGTGTATCTTATCGCTAGGGCAACTCATTATCCTAGATTTTCACTCGCCTCAGAAAAGGTGACAATTCAATTGTCATAAACTGCTTTAAACAGATTAATATGTTAGCCTGGTAACGCCTCGTCAATTGATCAACATTTGTAAGCTCGCAGTTGTGTGCATCCATTTGAGAATTTGCGCTCTTCTCGCGACCGGTGAACTCAAGAATTTTCCTCGCCAACAGCGCTCGTTCGATCCGCGTCTACCTGCATAAATTGCGTCGGTTTTCGCCAACCGCACGCATTTGCCTTGCGCGCATGCATGTCAATTAGCGCGGATTTATCTACAGGGGGGAATAGCTTCGCTTTTGAATGACGGTCTCGGGTTACCAGGCTCTCCGTTTGCCCCGAGATACGACTGCACCCCGTGCCTACCACCCACGTGGCGTGTCACGGGAACGTATCAAATTCATTTACCTTAAAAAGACTCAATTAATCAAATTCCTTGGCGTGAGCAAGATGCCTTATTTAAACTTGTAAGTTGTATACAAAGGCGCTGAAAATCCTGATGTGACTGGCGATCAGCTTCAACGAGTTTGCCAATAAGCCAGTGACATAAGACTCCTGTAAACACATTCAGTTCGTTCAACTGCTGGATTCGCGGTTAAGGTTTCTGTCACAGACTCTAAGTTATATCTTTTGACATTTCTGCTAAGGTGCAATTAATATACAATGTCCTTTCTGCCCATTAAGGGCAAAAAAAACCCAGACAGCAAAAAAACAGTGGATTGATGAATAGGATGCAAAACGATTTGTTTTAAAGACGCCAAATTCTGTCAGCAAGGTAGTCTGAGGCTCTGAGCAGAGACGTGATGTTATGTGGTCTCACCGGTCTGTGCTTAGGCAACCAAGGTTGAAACAGGAATCTCTAACTGCAAAGTTTTAGCGCAAAAAGGAGCGCACTTATCACGTTATGGGATTAAACATTAAACACGACACGAAATCAATTGGTTAGACCTTTTTAATATCTGGATTAAATCCATTGAAAAAATTAGTACTAAAGATTGCCTTGTCAAGGTTTGTGTCTTAACTACCTGAAACTGCTTAATTAAAAATGTCTGGGGAATCGTTTTGAATAACGAGCTCTTGTTTTGATGATGGGGAGAAGTCTGTGATGTTACGGTTCAAAGTTCAGTATAAATTGGAAATGGTTACTACACAGGTTCCAGACACAAAACACAACAGCTTGTAGTAGTCCAGACACAAAGCACAACAGCTTATTGTAGAATACAACCTACATTGGTCAGTACGTTTGAGATCTTTTTTCGGATAGTTCAGAGACAAACCACGACAGCTTATTGTAGAATACTACCAACACTGGACTACCGCATTTGAGATATCTCTTTCAGGTAGTTCAGATACAAACCACGACAAGTTATTGTAGAATCCTACCTAAACTGGAACCACAACCTGCAGCATGTATACAGGTTAATCGAAGTTGGCTTATCTAGTTGAAGCGCATTATGTTAAATCTTCTTTCCTCCGCTATAGTATATCTGTTCTTTGCTCTTTATTACCTTGCTTGAGGTCACGAGCTGGGAATATACTGTGTAGATGTTTTCGCGGTGGGCAATTTGGGGTGCTTGAATAGTGAATACCCTTGATTCGCTGTCGTCCTAATTGAGCTCTGGTCGGTTTCGTGTTGATGAAGCGTGCGACTAATGAAAAACGACATTGTACGTATACAATATCTTTGCTTTGTAAACAGACGTATTTGTCATGCTAAGTTGTCGCGCTTATCCCATGCCGGACGAAGTTGTCCCCACATTGAGCAGAGCTAATACATGGCATTGATTAACTGGAGTACGAAACGGGAATGCCGTAGAGGATTCTTGAAGCGCAGAACGGAACGGTTGCTCCGGCGACACCCCCATCAACGGCCGTTAAAAAACTCTGGCGAGATTCGATGAGAGTTATGCTCGTTAGACCTGTCATTGAAGTCGCAAAGCTTCAAGTATACACACAGACTATTGTTTTTCATGTTAAAAAACCGTATGGAGAGTAATCCCGAGGTTGGTTTAGGTGGGGGCCAGAGGGCGAGGTGAGGCCTAGAAGCTTCTAGGGAGGTGGGATCCACAGAAATTTCAAGCTCTCCATCTCGCATTTGTGAAATTCCTGAATTGATAAAATCCTAAATTGACCTACTTTAATATCTCCTGGGCAGTTCAGAAAGAAACAATACGACGTTTTAAGGCAATTCATCGCCGCAACCACTTCGTCTACGTGATCAACTTCTGGCTCTAAAAATTTCCGCCAGCGTGTCGAGCATCACAAGCGAAGCGCTCTCCGCATGGCGCGAACAAGGCTTTGCAATGCGAAATTCCCTTCATACTATATCTTCCTCGCGCGCTTACATGCTCTTAAAATAACCGTTTAGTACGCCCCTAATAAAACTGTTGATTGTTCGCGTAATGATTGAAAGGATGGCTGATTGTCGTTCTCTTTTGTAAAATATCATTGCTTTTGTTCGTCCGGAAAACGAGAATCGAACGAATTCTTTCTGTTACTAACAGCCAGCTAGTCAATTTCAATTAAACATTCTTAATCGTATAATCCACGTTCTCATTTGCCGCGTGAACTTTATAAAGAGATGCCCCGCGCTATACATTTGCAATTAACGACAAATCCAGTGTCCACCGAGTCCGGTTTTTGAGCGGCTGAAATAGCCTCTTTGATTATAAGTTTAAAATTAACGTCCCTGTCAGTCAGTTTGGTATCGTTTACATTCGCCAAGACAGATTAAGTGTTAGGCAAACATTGCGTTGACATATAAGTGTAAGGTGATGTCAATCTGCCATCGGGCTCTATGGGATATCTTTTTAGGCTATCAAGCAAACCTGAATTCGCCCCGCAGGTGGTGGGCCAGTCATTTCCTCTTGTTGCAGTCCAATATACATACCTATCTGCTTCAGAACGCATTTATTGCGTTCAATTCTACAGCTTTACGCTAACCCCTCGTCTCGTTTTGGTTGTTTTTAGCTCCATTCTCGAACGAATCGATGGCGGGATTCCCATGTAACCGAATGGCTCCGTACCCGATCCACGGCATCGGACTATCGCACCATCCTAGCTACGATCTCATGGGTCCTCTTGCGTCCAACTACGGTAAGTTTTTCAAACTGCGAGCATTTTTGCGAACGCCAGGCTGGCTTGGTCGGCCGGCCAAGCGAGACCTCACCGCGTAAGGCTTATGCCATAGAAGCACTTTGGTCGATTGTTCTCCGGCCAAGTCTCGCATCTCACGTCAATGAACAACTTGTCGAACAACTGGCAAGCCTACGCTGTCGGTTCGGTTGCATATATTTTTGCGCGATTGTCTATAGGCAAAATATTTGGCCCGCAGAGTGGCTTCGGACAAGTAAACCTCGCAATATTTACATTCCCTCTTCCGGTCAAATGTTTTATATAGCGGTAATAGCTCTCAGATTGTGCTCTTCAAAAGCTAGTCTAGAAATAGAACGTGTTTTGTTTTGTTTTGTTTTGCGCGTGCCTTCACAATGGCCTCGTCTGAGTCTAGCCGACATCGAAACGTTTTTCCGTGTGTTTTAATCAAAAGTCTGAGTACATGTTTCTAAGTGTTTTGTGGTCCGAATCGGTCACGTCTCCGGCGCCTTTTCAGATTGTGCAAATTGCGCTGATATCTAAGCTCTGCGGTCTTTCCTGTGATACGGAGTCGAAGTTTAGGGTGTCGTTTCCTTTAACACTTTATACCCTTAAACTGCTCTGGGAGATTCCTCTACGCCGCTAGACGGACGGGCGGTTAGAGCGAATGTGTGCTCCTTGGATGTTTAGGGATATAGGACAATGGACAACAAGACAAGAATCGCGTTGGCATTGAGCCATTCCAGATCCAAAAATGACTGTAATGTTTTGACTCGATTTCACGCCAACTAGGATTTTAGGTAGAAGGAAAATGTATTTCCTAACTCGCGTATAAAACGTCTTGTTCACCGAAGGAATGGTCAAAGCTTTGTTTCATATCCCACTGCATCTTTCTTCATGCATGATCCATAAGATTGCTTGGTTTGTATGTGGAGTGACAATGCAATGAACTATCTCCAAGGGCTGGGAAGTCATTTTCGACTCAACTTTACTGCAAATGCGTATATATAATTTGCACTGAAAGTAACTCCACTGGTAGGATTTTAACATCTTCAAAACAATAACATTGAAATTCAACATTTGCTTGGTTGTACAGCACTACTGTGTAGGAGATACAAGTCGTGTAGAGTGCTATCACAATCCCAGCTTTGTGTCTCTCCTATATGAGCCAAGTTTTATACTACTGAAGCTAAAAGCATGGTTCCTAACCAACTGCATGCTGTTTACAAAATCATAGAGGTAGTTTCTTTGGTATATCACTAAATTTGATCTAAAATTCTGATCCAAACATCAATCATGTGTCCACCAATATATCGATTACCGGTTCACCACCGTACTCCATTTTTGCTGCGATACATCTCTTTTGTTCTGCAGAACTACCCTACATATCTCATGTTTGTTCACTTGTTTAACCAGTACGATTAATATGCGTTTTCGAATCGGCTACATGAGCTTCCAAACTTCCACAATATACCCAGGAGTTATCACCAATACGATATACGCTAAATGTCTTAAGTATACATCACGATATTGACGTGAAATATCTCCCTTTTCCATATGGATGGAACCTAAACAAATTAGGATCATTTCAATGTGTACTTTATTATTTCTCGATGTGGCAATATAAAACGCTCATATCGTTTGCTTGCAGACTCATACTTTATTCATGAATGCAAAGGGTTTAAAATATCTCAAAGGGCTTCCATAGCTTGTGCAGATTGTATATCTGAGACGCTTTAAGCTGCTTGCATAAAACCTATTTTCAACAGAACAGCAGCTGTATTGAGACATAATTCATAAACGACAAATTCTGGTCTTTAATACGAGAGCTTTCTCAGAGATGAAATCAAGGCTCCCGTGCATGCTTGTACTTTGAAATAAAACATTGCTCGAAAGCCCTCGATTGTTTGAGCAAGCCAAAAGCAAAATTGAAGACACGGCTTCATCCAAAAGAAAATGTTCTCACAAATCAGTTTAAGGTTCTTCAAAACACATTTCATTATAAGATTAAACTCAAAGCTAAAATGTAAATGTACCAGTTGATTTGCCCATTAAAGTGCATTGTCTATATATAAATTTTTATAACAAGGATCGGGTTTCTAAGATCTCGGCTAAGCTACTATGTCATTATTATGAATTCGACCCATAATCTTCCTTCTGCTGTTGAAATCGTCTGTATAGTTTCAAGAATAGAGAGTTTCAACATTTTAGTTGGGCCTGTTGAACCGTTCATAAGAGCGATATCGTATGGTTTTAGATACGACACATGAGATCGATGTTCAAATGGCTCTACAGGAGAGAACTTAGCTATTATCTTTTCGTGAAGATGTAATTAGAGAGTTTATCTCCTCGTATATTACGTAAAGGTACAAACACGATGCCAAGTTTAAAATGCACGGCAATTAATAGATGGAAATAAACTTGCTATTTTAAAACGTTTAAATCTATTGGCGATTCTTGTGAGAGATAAGGCCACATTCTGGCATTCCCGTACATCTTTCACATGGCGGTAGTTTAAACATCTTATTTTGAAACACAAATTTAAATACCGTTTTTATATTCTTACTTGCTAAAATGTAGACAGATAATGTCATATCTATAAATTGTAACTACAGAGGAACAAATATATATCTCCATGCATGCTTGTTTGCTCGATGCAAAATCTTTGCATGATGATATATGCTCCGATTGCTAGAGTTTTCTCTTAAGGGTTCATCTTTGTCTTCGGATCGCTGAACACGACAGAGATTTGCTATCTCGTACAACAATAAAGTCGATTTTTCTTTGAGGATAGGTCACTGGTGTTTGTGTAAATGTTGCCAGAATCACCAGCCTAATCCATATGTAAATATAGGGACACCAGTCCATCACTGCGTGCATGTGTGTGTTTATAGTTTCGTCGCCTGGGTGTCGTTTTTTTGCATCAAAGCGCAAATTTTGTAAAAAAAATGCAGTTTTAACGTTTAAAAACGAATCTTACAGTTGTGAGAAAGACATGTCATCTATATTATGAAAGCTTTACTCCCATATTCAATTCCGAATATTTATGGATTCCCTTATCTCGATTGCATAGGGGAGAAATTTTGAATTGATAGAGATGTCAAATCTGTTGTCAGGTTGCATTGTTAAAATGTCGAAATTCCTATGCCATCTCTTGCTATTTTTAAAAACCACCCACAATCGAGATTGCAAAATTAGTCTTGTCCCGTGGTAGCAATTATCGATTCGTATGTACGATGGCCTTGCTGGACGTCTAGGAATTATGAACAGTTTAGAACTGATAGAGCTATCCAGTACAAAGTTAGTTTAGTTTAGGTTTCCTCCTGTAGTAACACTGGATCAATAAGATATGATCCGTACTGGACATCTAGAAAGAACAGTTTAGGACTGAAAGAGCTATCCAGTATAAATAAAGTTAGTTTAGTTTAGGTTTCCTCCTGTAGTAACACTGGATCAATAAGAGATGATCCTTACTGGACATCTGGGAAGAACAGTTTAGAACTGATATATATATTCAGTATAAATAAATTCAGTTTAGTTTAGGTTTCCTGCTGGACAGCTATAAATATATGTTCTAAACCTTTAGAGGACCAGTATACAAGGATCATCTCTTATTGATCCAATGTTAATGCAGCAGAAAACCTAAACTAAACTAACTTTATTTATACTGGATAGCTCTATCAGTTCTAAACTGTTCTTCCTGAAGGTCCAGTAAGGATCATATCTTATTGATCCAGTGTTACTACAGGAGGAAACCTAAACTAAACTAACTTTATTTATACTGGATAACTCTATCAGGTCTAAACTGTTCTTCCTGAAGGTCCAGTAAGGATAATCTCTTATTGATCTAGTGTTACTACAGGAGGAAACCTAAACTAAACTAACTTTATTTATACTGGATAACTCTATCATGTCTAAACTGTTCTTCCTGAAGGTCCAGTAAGGATCATATCTTATTGATCCTGTGTTGCATAAGCGTCGAATAGTTTGTTTAAGAATTCTCGACTAATTTCAATCCACCTTTTTCAAATTAGGCCATCATCCACCCAGAAAACAACGTCGTGAGAGAACTACGTTTACCAAAGCTCAACTGGAAATTCTGGAAGCACTCTTCGCCAAAACTCGCTACCCAGATATATTTATGCGGGAAGACGTTGCGATGAAAATTAACCTGCCAGAATCACGCGTTCAGGTGAGTGAATCAGTGTTTAAATAAAGCATGGGAATCTTCTAACGAGCAACCTTACCTTATAACAATCTTATGAGCGCATATAATATACAAACAAGGCCTGTTTTTCCCTGCAGTGTCTTAGTAGGGTATATTATAGAGTGTGAAAATGTTGATCTAATATTATAGTTGGTTGTGTCTAAAAAGCCTGTGAATCAGTATAGTTCTTTGGTTTTAGATCATTCATTGCATTAGATTTCTCTATCGCTTTTGCTGTAAACTAAATATCTATCAAATATCTAAACAAGACACGCGCATTCTAGGACACGGTTTAGTAGAAAGATAGTTTCTGAAGCTGGTCTCAACACCAAAAGCGAGAAACATCTGTTTTTCCGATCGACAACTTCCTATATACGAAAGCGTTGTCGCGTTTTTCAAAAACCTTATAAAACAACTCATGGGATAATACTTCAATGAGGTGATTGCGTTTAGTTCAGAACGTGTGAATATACAGTAAGTATTATTCAAATGAACCGCGTTGCCACTTTGCATGGCGTCTATATATATCAAAATGAATATTAAGATGGCGCGCATCTGGAACACTGAAGAACAATGGTTAGAGCATGTGTCGCTTTGCCTCCGAGAGCATGTTTCGGGTTTTGCCGAAATAAGATGCACGGGAGTCAATGATATTAAAGTCCTAATGCTTTTAGAAGGTGTTTTGATATGAAACTAAGCGCTTTCTTTTAAATATGAAATTATAATATTATTCAGAGCAACCGATTGCACGTACACGCTTTCAGTAATCCAGTCAATGCATTCAAAAATATCGTCCGCTTTAGTGAACAATATTTTCATTTTCATTTTAAAGCTGGATATGTTTCATGAGCGTTCGAATGCCGTGTAATTCTAACGACATTCACCCCCATCTTAATTTGAGAGACATGCATGTTCACTTCTTTAAGCAAAAACAAAAGTCTTCTTTCAGCGATTTTAGGCTGTATAATTGTATTTGCAAGTACTGTTCATTTTGCGACAATTACAGTATTAAAGGATAGCTTTATCAAATTGTATCACAAACTTCCTAAAGGCAAAAAAGTATTATTCTCTTGAACATAATCAATAGTGTTTTTAATCTCCCAATAATGTAGTATAATTCTTCACTTTAGAGCATATAACAGGTTTGCTTTAAAAAACATGTTAGCTTCGTAGCTTAAGATGGAAGCTTTTAATGGGTTCAAATGCAATATTTATAAGGTCTTAGAGGTAACAATTTCGACTTCGTCACCACCGTTTTACGTGTCCTGCCTGTGTATAACACGCCGTTAAACTTCTGTTTGTTATTGTCCAGCAGCTAGTGGCTCGATGGAAGTTTATTTACCTAGGCATGTTGAAGACAAACACAAGCGAACCATTAGCTCATTAAAACCATGCTGTTTGCAATGTACCCGCGTCGTCACGTTACACAGACAGTAGTTCTGGAGCCTGCGTCTTATCTTTCGCTATCTATGATAAAACATAGAACAATTTGTTTGATAATGAGATTGATTACGTATCCCTTGAACCTTTATTAGTGGTGACTGGTGAGCCTGTATCGTGATTGATCGTGGCTACGCCTTCAATAATGTGTAGTTGTTTTAGTGTCGATAACAATAGAGCGCTATGTGCTTGACTTTGGGTTCCCATTGATTTGCAGGAAAAGGTGTTTGTCGAGTTGGTTAGATAAGATTATTCTTTTCGAAGATTAGTATTAGACCATTCAATAATATCCTTTATCCCAAGAACCTTACTAGGACTTTTATCATGAAGAATAGTTTAGAACTGATATTAAAATATCTCGTTTAAATAAAGTTAGTTTAGTTTTAGGTTTCCTCCTGTAATAACACTCGATCAAAAACATATGATCCTTGTGTACGAACCTCGAAGAACGACACTTGTAATATAAATACAGTTAGTCAGGTCAGGTTTCTCCTATCAAAAAGGTTCAAAGAGGGACCTTTTAAGACTATGAATCCAGTATTAAATTAAAAACTAGTTCAGTTTAGGTTTTCTGACTTTTCTCCCGCATGTACCAAAACGCTGGATCAATAAGAGATGATCCTTACTGGACTTCTACGAAGAACAACTGATAGAGCTATCCAGAATAAACAAAGTTAGTTTAGTTTTGGTTTCCTCCTGTAGAAAGCACTGGAACAACAAAAGAGATGGTCCTTACTGGACTTACAGAAAAAACAGCGCAGAGCAAAAAGACTCTTTGCAGTATAAGATAATGGACTTAATTAGGCCTCTATGCTACGGTGAAGTACAATTTAAAAAATTTGTGGCTATATTAAGTAGATTCACAGGTTATTTGTGCGTGTTTTAACCATAAATATTCGTATTCGTTCATCGAGCCCAATAGCCATACTCGGGTGCAATAAATAAACAGACAACATATGTCATCGAATTGTCAGTGAAATGAACTCTTTCCTTTTCATCAATCATGTGTGTTTTGTTGATAAGCAACTGGAGCTGAAGTGAGTGCTAAATAAAGGCGGGCTATGGCTTTCAAAATAAATACGGTTGGCAAACACCGTTTTCCTTATTTATACATACACCTATTAAAGAAAATTCTTTCCACGGTCAGACAATTGTTTGCTTTCAAACATGAATAAGTCGAGTGTCATTCAAGGACGAGTTATGCGTCGCAAAGCATATGCAGGGTGATATACTTAGAGCTTTTTGTTCACCTTTCGAGATGTTTTAAAGAGCAATATATGGTAATGTGAAATACAATCCCCAGTGGTCTTGTGGACCAGACTCAATACTGGCTTAATGCTTACAAGCGCTGCTAAAACACCATCCATTATTAAGATGGCACTCCAAAGGAGGGTTTTTTCGTGAACATGTGCGTCCTACCAATTATATAAAGCAAATAGGATTTGCTGGCCACGGAACTCCTAATGTAATGATCTTAATACGCCAACGCATAGTGTGTGCGACCTCAGCTTTTAATAAAGCGCGCATTTTAGTGACGCCAGCTTGATTCTATTTTTTTCATGATATTTGAGCGAAGCAACAACAGCAGGTCGACTGCAAGTTCAACCGGTAATGGGGGCGGAGTTTCCAAATTACATGTTGAAAAATTATGATTAAAAAATGCGAAAATACTTCCGTTCGATTGCATTCCAAGAATATTAGCCATTGAAAGATGCCTGGAATTGTACTTAGCAGTTTGCGGTTATTTTGCTAAACACGGACGCGGAAATGCGGATTATGGGGACGTGCAATGAAGACGCGGGGGTGCTGGTGACGTACTTGTGTTTCACCTGAAAACACATCATTCGTATTCTAGAATTGCATCTTGTTATTTACCTATTGCGCCTCTAGTACATAATCTACCAATGAGGTCACTGGTAGTTAGATGTGGAAAGAGAAGCTAGCGATGGTAGATTTTACTCATGGATTCCTTCGTAACTAACAAGGCATTCTCCACGTCCTATAGTAAACTGTCCATTTTTCCCATCCAGGTTTGGTTCAAAAACCGACGCGCAAAAGTTAGACAGCAACAACAGAACAGCGAGGGAAAACCCAAGCCTAAAAAGAAACCACCTACTCCGAAGGAACCTCCGAAGATCCCTGTTACCTCAGGCTACCCCCAATATCCCAGCTGTGCGGCAAACATTTGGAACCCAGTTGGGGACCAGTCTGTCATCCAACGACCTCCGCCCTACGCCACGCCTATCCTCAACGGCTCTATGCCAATGGGAAGCTCGTCCTCTATGCTAGTACCCGGACCCCCTCCCCCACCCCGATACTGTACCTCCTCCCAAGATTACTCGTACATGCCGATGAGCATGCATTTCAACCCCCCTAATTCGACATCATCGTCCCATCAATTTGACTACCTAGAACATGGCTTACCCGTTGGGCAACCCCTGCCAATGGGTGGGGTCGGCAATCCTGCACGTGTCTAACACAGTGTGAACACATGTCAACCACATGAGCGACTCCGCTGACCGCATGGGATCAAACAACAATGGGGTACACGAGAATTGGACAGGGGGAAGCGATGGTCGGCTTATGACATCTCAAGTGAAGCGCGCCCTGTAACTTTGGAAAGGGAGCCAGAAGTATTTATATTACAGGGTGAGGCCATCGACATGTATATCGTGGATACTTATCAGCTAGTTTATTTATGAACGAATTCTTGCATTCCACGAGTAATTGAGAAATATTTGAACCGAATGCAGGCTTGCGACATGAATTATGACTTATTGAAATTGTTAATAGTTTGAAATTGTACAAAGTTAAATTTAGCGCCTATGTAGAACATTGTAAATTAGATGTCTTACCATTTGTCCATTCGGGTGTCTAGTTCCAACCACCCCCCCCCCCCACCACCTCTTTCCATAGTTTTCGTTTGGCAATATCAACGCCAAGATGCTAAGACAAAGTGGTGTCAAGCTTGAAAAAACGGCTGCGAATTCAAAGAACGTAGTCGGAAAACAAAAGGTAAAGGATACATAGTAAAGTGTGCTAGTGTCGACTTAAGAAGGAGACTCTAAACGCTGACTAAGCCGGAACAAATCACCTTAAAAAATCAAGTTCCGCCTACACCTAAAGCCCTAGATTTGGAGGGACGGGATTTTCCGACGGATCGTTGTTTTTATTTCCGTGTTTCTCCGTACATTTATCTCACTCATGTAAAGCAGGCTTTTAACGCCTTCCATTCAACGGTCAGACAAGATTATATCTTTCGTATAATGCAGCCTGAATTAATCTGATCTCAAATTTGCCAAATCTCCAGTGTATGTGTATTACGAAATACAGGCTTTATCGCCATAATTATTTGCAATTTGAATTTCATCGTTATTTATTTTCACTCCCAAAATTCGATTGAAAAGTGGATCACATTTTGATAAAGCGTAACCATAATTAGCATAATTTGCCAATAAGACAATTCCCTTGGGGACATTTGAAGAAGACGACTGCAAGCCATTCTTGTTTGGGCGAAGAACTGCCTTTGTGTGCTTTCCTCGTGTAGTGCAAATTCTCTTCAGTTTTTGGCCGAAAACTAACATTTAAAGCCTTCATTTGTGAAAGAGTCCATTTCGATATACGAGTGGTACTTCAGGATGCGTTTTAACGGAATGAAAAGCGATATTCTCAAAGCATTTTGGTCGGATAAACGGCAAGACCGGTAAGAATTTTAAAAACTTTTGTATTCAATTCTAGTCAAAACTTTTCGTCTTCTTAGGAACAACTATGCCTAAATATTTTACAATTTTTCGTGCCAGAAACGCTTTAAGGAAGTTTATTCGTATTTTCGTATATTACTGCTTAAAAAATGACCGAAATTGCGAAAACATGACAATGTCCGCCATCTTGGAAAATTTGGTACCATCACTGGTAATGGCTTTCAGTTGACGTCACCAACTTGGTTAAAAAGTAAATGAAGCTAATTTTTGGTGACGAGGTGGCAATTAACTGAATTAAGTGAATGTTTTTAATGTTTTTCGCTCGTTTTATCAACTCAGACACAACAATCGTTGTTGTTTTATCATTATCAATGATTATCTGCGTTCTTCTTGCATTACCGCTGCTGGCTAAAGGCAAGTGAATTCGGTCTAATTTGATGGAAGATAGTGTATTTCAAAATAAGATTTCGGTTTTTAAAGTTAATAAAGATGATATACTAAATTTTCCCGAATTAAGTCTGCCTAAATGTTCCATCATTGAAAGTGTCGAGCTCTACCAACTTGCACTCGCCATGAATGTAAAAAAACAAAAAAGGAATATAGTTTTAATTAAAAAGATTGTAACAGCAGGGAAGGGTTAATAGATGAATATTTTTGCTAGATAAGGGTGCAGCCATATCTGAGTATATAGTCTTGCAAATGTATACCCCGAATCGTGTAATTTATTTAATTTATACTTTTTAATTCAATAGCGCATATAATATAGTGTTACTACATTCCATATCATGCAGATATTACCTAATATTTTACAAGCAATTATTACATAAACCATATATATTAGCGATATAATTTTACAGACGACTTAAAATAAAAATGGTACATTATGTAGAAGAGAGACTGTACACTTCTGCGACCATACAGGAAGGGTCAAAGCGAGACGTAGTTACTCAGAGAATACGTAGAACATGTGTCGCGTTTAAAAACTTGTAAACAGAGGGGGATATCGTTCGAGTTTTGTCGTGTAAAAAACACAAGGACCGCGGAACTATTGCCAAAGAAGGGTGGGGTAGGGGTGGAGTTGTGGGGTTAGAGGGGCGAGCTGTGGGGGATTAAAAAGACGGGACTTTTACATCGCTTATATTTACTAAATAGATATCATTGATAACATTGGCAAGTATGCTCGAAACCCCTCGGGGAGGGAGGGTGTTCACCGTGCCGCGGAGCCCCCTCCGATGTTCAGTGGCCCTTGCTGAGGTATTGTTGATCTTAGCGCGAAACAATCTTAATTTTTTAGGTTCAGTAGTAAACTATTGTCAATCTATAACATCTATTTTCAAGTCATAGGAAATTTTCCTGCTACATTTTAGTTCATTTTGTTGAGGCTCAAATTGACGTTTGCATGCATGCAATGTGGCAGGCGCTCATAATTTAAGCCCGTTCTATTCTCCTGTCATGAAGTACTTCTTAGACTCTTGCGTTGTTTGGCTGGTTGGACGCTGATATGGGAAGCTGTTGCATCGGGGGCTCATGAAACTCGAGCGGGTGTTGGGGGGTTGGGGCCATGGGTCGATTAATATACACCCCCATCGGTACGTAAGGACGGTCTTGTGTGCCCGCATGATATCTTGCCTGGGTGGTATGCGGTATCATCATGGAGGCGGAACTGCTACACATAGGGTTACCTATGACGGACGTGGGATAAGCAGGGGCACGAATGGATTGGTCGCTTGGCGATCCCCACATCGAGGGGTATGTCTGGTATTGGGTGTAGGGGGTAGTAGGTGAACTTGAGGTGGTTTTTGGTACATTTTCTTTAGGCGTGGATGGCTTCTTTTTAGGCTTTGTTTTTCCATCAGCATTCTGTTGCTGTTGGCGGCATTTCGCCCGGCGATTTTTGAACCAAACCTTATAAATAGAGAAAAAGTTTTAAAATGGCGGTTATTTTCACTGCTAATTCACTGAATATACTGCACGCTAGCCTCCGAAAGGTTTCTCTTGGGTGACTCCATGTTGTCAGTTTGTGATAATCATGTTGAAAATCTCAGGGCGCTATAGTAGATGACGTTCGGTTTTTAACGTTATTTCGGCTTAAATTCTGTCATGTTGAATTTATTTTTATCCTTATCTTTATAGATTTAGAGGTTTAACGTGGGCGAGCAGTGTCAAGATTTGGTGATCAAGATTTGGTGATCAAGATTTGGTGATCAAGATTTGGTGATCAAGATTTGGTGATCAAGATTTGGTGATCAAGATTTGGTGATCAAGATTTGGTGATCTACAATTTACAGGTATATACCAGTTTGTTTCAATGTTGTATTTTCGTGTACGCTTTTCTTCTTTTAATGGATGCAAACGAGCCAACAATCATGCGTGCTTTGTTTCACGGCTCTCTTATTTGAACATTGATAACCTCAACCACTCGTTCACATCCATCAAAAGAAGAAAAATCACCATCTTGGTAAATATTTGAAAGCAAGCCGTCCTTACAGTTCATAGACATGGAATTTTCATTACACCATACGGTGTAACTTTGATAGTACAAGTGCAAAGTTGTGCATGCAGAGAAAACGCGTTGCGGGATCATGTTGTTAGGATTTTCTGTTAAAACCGGCTAATACTATGTTAAGGCTCTCAGCTTCAACATTTTAAACTGCTTATGCACGCAAAATTCGGATAATATTTTTGGATGCTTATCCAAATGCGGAAACGTTAACTCTCTCGTGATGAGCTTTGAAATAGTGGAGGTGGAGTGAAGGTCTTGGTGGGGTCTAGGTGTAGGTGGGCTCTGGACCAGGTAAAGGAAGTGCTCGTGAGGTTAGGATATATCTGTGGGCATAATCTAGAACGGGTGACTGTTGGAAAGCATCCGGTGACGAATTCAACAATGTTAAAAAAGTTTAAGACCTTCTGTGTATTTTGGCCGAGGTTCAGAATCTGATAACTCAAAAATAATATATAAATGCTGATAAAGACGTATCTGATAATTATTTAATTAATTTAGACTAGAAATTAGCACGAATCATGTGCACGATCTTTGCTACAAGAAAAAGCGTGTAACTGATAATCGTATTCACACAACCCCCGCAACCTCCGCCCCCAAAGTTTAAATTTATAGTCCCTATAGTCCCTGGTCTTTCTTCGCTGCGTGCTGTGGTATTTTATCTAATTACAGGCGTGTGTTAAAACCACAGTGGACCTTAAAGAGCGTCCGGATTTATTTCTAAAAGGAAGAAGATTATAAATCTCTTCGTTTGTGTAACATTTACCAGGCGTTCTTGCGTCCGCAAATCCAATCTGTGCACGCACCTAAACGTGTGGTAATTCTTGAATGGAAAGAAATGCGATTGCTAGTTGAATAAACGTTGAAACTGAAAATCCACCGCATGCTTACACAAGTCTGAGAGCCGGAATTTTGCAAAACTGTTCTTGAGTTAACGAGCAAATCAGATTAATTCTAGCTCATATGGAAGGCGAAAAAAAAACGCTTGAATTACTTACGGAAAAATAGGTTCAACTTAAAACAATGCCAGCTTAATTAAAGATTGTTGTGCCTCGTTAAATGTCGAATTAGGCGACAGTAGCATTTGGAAGTCGGCGTAAAAATCGCGATTACTATACAATAGGATTTTAAAAGAAAGTTGTGAAAGCGCTTTGAATACAAGGTGTTCGATTTTCTTTGTACAATAAATAGTTCATTATACTTTCCACCTAATAAATTTCAACTTCCGTCTCTAGGCGAAACATTAAAATGTCTTAACGAACTGTCAGAACTTGTACAGGAACTGAAAGTCTAGGCTGAAGAAACGATTAAAATATTGGCTGGGTTTTTTTTACAACAAGGAAACATTGAAACGGCTGTAACCTTGATGCACTCGGTCGAAAAAAATCTATCACGTTGATGATGAATCGCGATGAAATACTGCATAAAAAATGCTAGGAATGTACATTTTGAATCACCCAATTCGATGAAAAATGTATTGTTGTATATTAATGACACTATACATCTGCGATCCGATTAATTGCAGGCTGACCCGGTCATTTTCGTAATGATTTGTTAAGTTTGGCAGCTTGAAATTTTCATGCGTGTGAGTAATTCCTGGGCAGAAATCAGCTTAACTCAATTTGCTTGTCGAATTCTGCCAATAATATATCAGCACTCACGTTGAATATACGTCAGATGTTAGGGCATTTTTGACACAGGAAGGAAAAGGCCCTTCACGTCTTATCAGGGCTGCGAACTGTCTGTAAGTTTTTAACGATAAAGTATATTTCAAGTGATAAGATTGAAAAGAAATGTCTGCTATCAAACATACATCTGAACAATCCTATTTTAGGCAGTTGGACTTCGCCAAAAACCAAAACTTTGAAATGACTGACCAGAATTGAAAACACTTCAAAAGTGGTATATAGTCCTGAATAAGTTAAAGCTGTAATCTCTTTTTTTATCTGTGTGCTATCAGGCTAAGTCGAAAAATCATCTCTCAAAGTGTCCACGAGCATTCTTTAAAAAGATCTCATTAAATGGTTAGTCTTGTGTGGTTTCTTTCTTTGAAAGCATTTCGTGTGCTATTTTGCTATTTTCTCCTTACACTCAACGTTGCATAAATGTTTGAAATATTTCAACATGACCGCTAATGACCAGGGTGTGATATGAGCGTACATGACATGTATCATTTCCATTTTTGTTCAACCTTTCTTCGTTCGTTTTCCTGCTCTGATAAACAAAGAGTCGGAATGGTGGATGTATATGGTGCATGTTCCTGCCTTAGGATGGCTGGTTTCCATGGAGATAAAAATATATTAGGCTTAAAATAATTCGCATTCCTGTGTTTAACCTGGAGAGAGAAAGATCATGCATCCTTTCAACTGTCCTCATATATATGAACTAATAATTCGCTTGTTGTTTGTCGAAAAACAACAAAATGCAGTATTTAAAAATTTCATTCATAAAACTATGGTATATTCCACCAGGGCTATATTGAGTACATTTCTTGCTTTTAGCATTCATTTATATAAATATTTAAACTTGTAAAAGCATTTCTAAACTATCAATGAACTAAACCTGTGGTTAAGCAAGAGCTTATATATTGGTTTGGCTACCTATTGCAATATCGTATAATAGCTTTCTTTGTTGTTAAAAAAGAAAACGAAATAATTTGTTTGATGGAGTTTGATTGTACTTCATTCATACCAAAAAAACCTTTATGTATCACATTGCATTGGATGGTTGCCCAAATCGACCAGTTTGAACAGATACCACGGGTACATGCATTGAATAATATTCATTTCGAAACCAAAAAATAATGATTAATAAAATAGCGGTTAATTTTACTTTGAGACAATCAGCTTTCGCTTCGGCATCAAAACAATTAAGAGAGCATATGCGTGATTAACTTCAGTTAAATCAACCTCGTTTCGCTGTCCCAACAACTGTAAAAAGTTTAATAGGGGATTTGTAAATAGATTAAAGATTTAATATCTCAAGGCTTACGCTACACTCAATTTAGAATTTTCCAACAACTTATCAAGAATATATTTTGTCCAAAGTGCACATTGTGTTTTTTTTCTTAACGCTATTATATAACTCTAATGAGGAATTAAGGTCGTTTTTTAAACGTCTTAAAACTCTATTTCTATATCCACTGTCTACTTTAAATTTATATATGTTTACTCATGTGTATATATTCAAAAATACGTGAAAAAATTATGAATTTTATACGACATAGCTGCACAATTCGAAATTAGAATCTCTCCACACCATACTGGGTGGTGGAATTCATTTTGTCAAACTCTGAGCATTCACTTTGCCTTTCGCCAGCATCGCAAGATGCCGGATTGATTTATGATGTTTCGAGACCACGCATGGGTGTAAAAATGTCGTTTGCACTCAGACTTTCCTAATTACCCGGAATGGCCATACCAAAATAGCCAAAGGCGGGGTGGATATATGCCAACCATATACATTATAGGTTGTAAAAAAACCTACATGGAGGCAATAGGTATGTTAACACTATTATGTTCCATTTCCTTTTGACATTGATTAATTTCTGTGTTCCCTGCACATGCATGATTCAACCGACTTTGTTTCAAGGTGTAAAAAGTGTTTTGCACTTGGAGGTATATATGAGAACGATAAATTACTCGACATGGTTGGTTAAAGACGATTATGAACGTTTAAGTTTTGCGACTTAAGCTATAAGCAAAGCTAACCAGCGCATACCGTTCGCATCAAGCATAAAAAAGCATAATTTAGGTAGCATACTGCTGTATACAAAGAGGTGTTTGTTACATACACGCCCATATATATAATACTATAAGTTGAACGCATTATAATTCTGTTTGCGAACAAGCGAATCAAACCAAAATAAGTGAACATAATTGATGGGTTTTGAAGTATAACGAGACACTAAAATATAATTCCCCGTGTCAGATGAGTAGGCACAGATTTTCTGATGAAATGAGACAATGAGCGCTTTAATATTCTTCCAGTTCGCTACAGTTCAATATATAGAAAATTTTTATTTTAAGCGCACATATTTAGTGTGTCATTGCAGTACTGTCGATTATGCAAAGCCAGTGACGATAATTTCTTATCTAAGGGATTGTTTATCAGGAGTTTAACAGGAGTTATCCTGCTTAGGGAGGTAAAAAGTGCATCACATCAAAGGCTTAACCTGATTAGTGTTTCATTATATGCAGTTTTCACCTCGCCTGACCGAGATAACTCGCTCCATGGAAACAGGCCCTAAATATGTTTTTATTCTTATACGTTAGAACCTCCTAGGTTTTAGGGCTTAAGAAATTTTAACAAATATAACCGAAATAATCCGAAGCGATAAATATATATAGCTATATATACAGAATGATTCCTTTAGCTGACTGTGGAAGATTTTCACAGGGTTATATTAACAAAATAATGTAAAGCGTTGGCCTGGAAGATATGAAATATATAATTATCCTACCTGAACTCTGGATTCGGGCAAGCTTATCTTCATAGCAACTTCCTCACGCATAAAAATATCCGGGTATCTTGTTTTCGAGAACAAATCGTCAAGGATTTCCAGTTGTGCTTTCGTGAATGTTGTTCTCTCTCTTCGTTGTTTGCGAGGTGGATGAGCTGAGTAGGAAAGAAGATGAAATTTATACATATCTCACGTTTAATCTATATACGCGTTCGTGTTTGAAAACGCATTGATAAGAAAATATAATTAGAAGTAAAAACTTGCGACGTTATTCTTGTTTATATTGTATCCAACACATGACGCGCAAGTGTACAAAGCATTGAATATGGATAGCAAGATATAACATGAGTATAATGCCGAATTCGTGAATTAAATTGAGAATTTTTTAAAAGAACACGTTGTGATTTAAGCCATGCAAGCTTAGAACGATTCACAAACAGCGTTTTATGTATATTTGATTAACTTATTTATCACAACTTTCTTAGACAGTAGCCGCTGTTTCTAAGATAGTAGTTTCTTAGGCACAGCATGTGCTGTATATATAAACATATTATAAGTTCATTTCTGTTCATAGACACTGTGGATTTTGGGGCCCAAATTCTTAGCTATTATAAAAAACAAACATATAGCTACATGCTATATACGTCTGTTTAGGACGAAACGCAATTTATTCTATACTAGCGCAAATGCCTCTTGCGTTTGAGTAAAAATTGCAAGCTTTACAATTCCCACGAATCAAGAACATATTTAAAACTTCATAATATGTCCCTAGGGAAAATGCTGCACTAGGTTGAATTTATCGCGAAGCTCGCACGGCTGGTATAATTTACTCGCGCGCGTCTTTATAATTGCGCAGTTCCCAAATACGCAACCAAATTGATTTGTATTTTCGTTCAAATAAAGTTCTGTGTATAGCTACTTATTTGCATACATGTGAGGAAAAAATCGTATGAATTTCAGAGCGTTTCGCCTGTTCGCTGTATAATATCAGTACTTTTCGACATATGATCTGCAGTTTCATGTTGTGAAAAGAGATTGAACACGCTTTTATACAAAGCTTTATCTAACCTTAATATACAACTCTTCTCTGTTTTAGTGTAATCACAAGCCGCAGACAGCAAGTTTATTATTATTAAGTTTATTATTGTATCTAGTGTTGTCATACAGTTGCAGCTCGTTCATCGAATCGACCACCGCATTTCGGTAATATTTCTCAGATAGTTCCAACGCAAAGGGGAAAAAACTACCTACACTAGACCACCACGTTCGAGATATCTTTTTCAAGTAGTCTGAAGACACAAACCACGCTAGCCTATTATAGAATACTACTTACCGGATTCCTATGACCAAAAGCTGCATAAAGCTGCTTTTCTAAAGCGTCGGACGGCATTGGTACCGTAGCTTAAGCGCTGCTAGAGAAACGCAAAATCTATCGCGATAGACCGCATGCATCGCCTCGCAAGAGGTAGCGAGCAATAGCGTGGAAAAACAGATTGCTTTTTGGGCTATTAATTTGTTTTTAATTTACGGAATGTGTTATCTGGTCACTGGCAAGGTAATGACAAGAGGGAGGGGTTTCGGCCATTATCTATTTATCGAGCTTAGAACGGTTTATAATGAAAATTTAATTACGCTTTCCTATAGTGATTCGCCTGATCGACTTACGCAAATTATTCGAATTAGTACGTATTGGACGCGCGCAAGCCCGAGCGATGTGCGTCGAAGAAAATGAAACAGACTCTCGCATGCGCAAGGCTTCGCGTTTGTATACCTTTCATATCAGATGCGTCCCGTCGATAGGCACGTCTATGCGAGCAACTACTATCATTGTAACACTCGGAGAAAAGCCAGGATCGATTTTGACAGCACGATTGGATTTCACAACCGATCCTTGCTTGAGACGCGCTCCTGTCGTGCGTGGATACTCCGCGACGTTTGTAAACACGCCATAAGACAAATTCAAAACAATCATAACATGCTCATCGCGAAAACAAACAGACCTATTTCTGTTGTTTATTTTAAATCTCACGTAAGCAAACGTATTAGTATAAACAGCACAGGCAGGATTGATGCTATATTTGCGAGGGATGCCGAGTGCGTAGTGTTGCAAGGTTATCCTATTTTTATCACGAGGCTGGCTGCTATAGATCCTCACTATACCATATATAGGATTGTAACCTTCGCGGGGTATAGTGCACAATCAAACAAGTAGATGATGTACGCCTTGGAATTTCAACATTTGAACGGCATTTCTGGGAGGTGTACGTTCTTCGTCTCTCGTTTGTTTACGATGAATATGATTAAATAGTTATGTCAGTTACATGTAGCGTGGTACAACGAATTGGAATGCGCTAACCGGCTTAAAGTTTTAAGTACATTTACACATGATAATGCCGACGGTAAGGTTAGATTTATATGTAATTCATTTGACTTATCTGTCAGACAGCCCTCCGTATAAAAGTCAATGAATATCACGGCAAAGTTTGCTGTTCTACACCGATTCATGCTTGCTTACTTCCCGCGTTCCGAGAGTATTTGCGCATACCCAACTAGCCAAGAATCGATCAAGCCTCGTTCAATATACAAATGCAAACCTTAAGCGCTGATTCGCCAACCACATAAGCGCTAGAAAATTCGCAAAAGTAAATCTGTAAATAAGAGTAAACAAGATTAAAGTTTGAGTGCCTTGATAATACGCTGGGTAAATCCTTAGTTGCATATTTGCGTGTATATGTTTTAAAGGTTAGAACCCAAACTCACGAATTTTTAAGCGCAAATCTTGCATTTGTTCCAGTCAAAATTAGCTGCCTCAATTTCACACAATTAAGTATTCACATTATTTGAAGGGTCGTTTCAAATTTTGATGTTGTCAAGCGAAATTTATCTCTCCTTGAAAAAAGCCATTTCCTGAGCAAATGACAGCAAACCACGAATTATCTCGAAACGGAACCTGACGCACGATATACCAAAATTCTCTCCGCGCGTTATATTCCGATTTCAATTCGTTTTAAGCACAAACTAAGCTCTATTCCTCCCGAAACAAGTCCTGTCTTGCAAGCTAGATTACCTTTAAGCCCTCTCTTGCAAACATGTATGCTCGATTATCTTGTGTTTACACTAATGAATATTTCAGTCAAACATTGTGTTGTCACAGCTATAAGGACGTAATGCTAAGATCTAAGTATTGCCACGAATAGTTCTATGGCGTATACCTGCCCATACAATGCATAGACAAATTGGGGCAAGTCGTGCACGAAAAACAAACATTTTGCATATTTCAGATGTTCAAATACTATCTCCACAAATCGTCTGAAAAACTCATTTATCTAGTTTCGTTTCCGTTTAAGAACGTCCATTTAAAGAGTTGGCAAACCTTGTATATATGATATAGCTATAATGATTGGTACAACATAGAAATATTGCGGAAATACAAATGGCTTTGTTTACAATAATTTGTAATAAGTATTTTTACGGCAATGCCAAATTGAAACAAAACAATTTTCGAAATGGTTTTTACTATGGTTGAATGAAATTGTGCACGTTTTAAAATCTACTTGTCCTCTAAAGAATCAAGCCTATTTTGAGAAGACATTGCAATGAAATGATATAATTTCTTTTACGGAATATTCACTTGAAAGGGTCTCTGTAAATTTGATTAATCTATTTGTAAAGAGATTTACGATTCTGGCTGCTTATTCGTAATAATCGCGGCTGTAAATTCTTGTACTCATTATAAACATGATCTATAGTTACGGCATCGCAAACTCTTAACGACTAAACCAATTTGAGAACGATTCTCAATAGATACGCCACCATCGTTTGTGTTGCGGAGCTAACTGAAAGAGATTTACGAATATTTTGCACAAAAGGAACCAAATCCTGCCTAAAAAAAATCCAAGTGGCTATAATGGTTTCAGTTATAGTTAAAACAAGAGCCACGACGCACACAAACTTGTGTGTACAAATCTGTTCTCGACAAAGGCTTGATTCAAAATTAACATTCCAACCGGCACGCTCTTAGGTGAAGCCACAAATTGTAAACGTGAAACACACTGATTTATCACCATTTAAAGTTATACACAACGAGCTGTTCTTCTAAATGTGGGGATATGACAAAGCCTGTTTGATTGTAGGCTTTATGCGAGATTCCTCTACATTTAAGGGGCAGAAAACGACGCAGAATACGTTAATTTGAATATAAACGTTTGGTTAATTTGCCTGAACGATTAGTTTTCTAAATGAAGCTATGATTTAGAATGGCCGGTGTTAATAGCTGGCATAATGCCTAATCTTACCCGAAGATATATTTTCGATACAGCTATGTACTAGGTCGGTCAATGCATTTCAAATGAACTATTTTGGTATGAAAAGAGCCAGTTGAGCATTCAATATACAGTTGGTCAACCGGGAAACTGTATCTATCGAGAAAGTCCTCAAAAGAAGCATGCTTTCTGTACAATAATGGCATTCTTCAACACCTCTCTCAAGGAATCCCTGTGAACAATTCACTCTGGAATTAAAACGTAGCTTAATTCTGGCTCAGTCGAAGCACCGTAGCATTACCTGTCGTAGTTCTTTGTTAAATAAAGAGAATTGATATAACTTGAAAAAGCTCATGGACAAAGGCATCAATAATCATTATGTGTTGATTATAGGAAGCCAGCTCGCGTATTACCGCCTGAGCCTACACTCGACTTTCATATGATTCCCGTTAACACTTCTTCCTTGTACAATGGTCTTTAACAAATGGCAGGAATCCGAAGTCCGGAGCTATCCGTGCTATCCTTTCTACCACCATTAGCTCTGGTGTGGAATTCAATGCATTTGTAACGTATCGGGCAACTGATGTATATATTTATAGCACTTAATTGAATGTCCCACTTTTTTATTTGAACAATTCTATTTGTTCAGGATTATCTAAATTAGACTGCAAATTAGCTTTAACACGAAAGAATAACGCCAGACAAGCGCATATGTTGCAGCGCGAACCACTAAAAGAATGGTATTGTATACCATGACTGTGTATTTATTTATGATATCAACTCATGGTGGTCACAGACTGCGTGTAATATGGTTCCACTTACCGACTGTCGAAGACATGGGCCCCATGAGTTCGTAGCTAGGATGGGACAAACCAATGCCGTGTACTGGATAGGGGGTCATTCTGTTGAAAGGAAATGCAGCCATTTGAAAATCGTCGAGGCCGAGCAGCGCCTAAAGATGGAACATAATGAAATAATGAGCCGAGAGTTGTCACTTTCGAGCAAGCACGACCAGGTATAGACGAATCCGTTTGAAAGCGCACAAATTACACAATACAGCGCAGGATATTACCGAAGTTACGCCCGCTGATGTTATGGAAAGTTGGTTAACTGATCAAGATCTTGCCTGTTTTGTGGCTCATGTGAGTTAACGTGAGCGATTGCAAATCCATTAGCAACTGACTGACATCGTCATTAACTATCGAGGATGAGCTTGTGACGCATGAGACATCTGATACGCAAAAGGAACCCCAAGGTGCCACACGCTTATCATATGGTGGGATCGCGCTATTTTAATACACCATCGACGCAAAATATTCCAATGTAATCCTCTTTCTTATAAGGCAACGACATAAACGGTTTAAGCGCTATTATATCGTTACCATTCGCGCTGGTCTCCTAGAGTGGAAAGTTCTATTGCGATCCTAGTGGACCATATTCATAGTTGTCTGGTTAATGTTGTGTAAAGAGTCATTCTCGGGTTGAAAGACTGTGGCCAGGTGATTTTACTTTAAAAACATTAGGCTTGTCTTCCCTCTTAGTCTATACGGGCCATACGATCTATGATACTCTATCTTCTGTTACATAATTACCCCCAACCTCGACAGCCGTTCTCGCTATAACAAACGAACCAAGGACTTAAGTTTAACATCGACATTAACCATTGCGGATATAACTACGTGTAATAAGGAAGTCTGATTGTTTTGAGTGAAAGAAATACGATGAACTAACTACAACATGCTGATATTGCTGCCAATTCTAATGGCATTCCAAATTGTAATATTTGAAAATGACTTGCTCGATGATATTTTTCAAACACTGCTAATTTTAAGATAATGATGATCGTGCCAAGCAGTCAATTTGCCTGCTTTAGGGAATGTTTTGGTTGAAAATATTGCGAATTCGGGAAACTTATTAGCTTATTTGTTCGAGTCGAGGATTGATAGGTGTTTTTTTTTGAGATGCCTAACATATTACCACTGAAGAATTTAACTATTTAAAAACTCGGTGACTGAAGGCTAGTGTAAGTAGTTCTTCCTTATCACGTGATCTTTGGCTCTGAGAGTCACACTTGCAAATTTCAGTTAGGGAAAGATATGCATGGGCATATTCCTGAGCCACACGGGCAAAAACATAATGTCAAGTCACGCACCCTAGGACAGCAATAGGCAAGATAATCAGACATACCATGATGTTTAATATCTTTTCCTGTGAGTTAATTTAAAGATCAGGGAATCTTCAGCACAATTAAAAACATTAAAATATACATAAATCATTTTTTATTAAACCAAACTTCATTCATCGCAAGGTAAATTACCTCGTCATGGACCTAATCTTGTGGCTCAAAATCAGGCTTTGAAAGGACATTGTTATTGTATAGAAGTATGTTTTCATTTCGCTTAAACGGATGTGTGTTTTTACCCTAAACTGTCTGATTACAACTTATAGTATTTTATCGGTTTGACAATTGTAGTTTAAAGCTTTAATCTTTCTCAGTGAATGGCCGTTTCGTATCGGAGCAGTTTAAAAGATTACGCGGATCATACTGGCTTTAACGAGAACCCTGGCGCGGTTGCAAACGCTCAAAATAAATCCATTTAGGATTGGATTACAATCACAATCCTGAAATGGATCTTAATTATATTACTAGGAAATTGAAAAGTCTTGTTGAAAAATTAGCCCGTGTGTATCTGAGCGATACGCACATATGTATACGATTTTAGCCTTCGTCCTAAAGGTGAACATTACACCTTTTATCTTTTTATCATATTCGTGCCAACTAGATTGATTTACCACTCGATTTTGGGAGGAGCAATATGGACAGTTTATCTTTTTTTTTCAACGCCAATCTTAAACATTGCCACGACTCTTATTTGCCCTGGGTAAACAGCATCCCACCGTTTGATATATACAATACTTCGCTTAACAAACAAATCTGGAAACCCGTGTCAATTTCAAAAGGTCATGTCAACTTTATCCCCGCCATCTGGAAGGTAGAACAGGCAAGATTATGGCATAATCTTGTAATAATACAATGTGCTACGGAGTAATTTAGTCATCACGGTAGATTTAACAATATGATACTCAAAATTCTCGTTAGTCACCTCAAAATACCGGTCGTAATGAAAAAAGAATGCGTTGTGCTTACACTATCATATAAACAAACCAAGATGTATATATAAAGATATGCTAGCTTCCTATATTTGCATGCCAAATTCCAATGTAGTGTCAAAAATATTTTGATAATGTCCATAGAAATCTTGCCTCAAAACTATCAACTGAACAATATCAATATACGCTGTTCTTATATAGTATAACAGGAATGCAAACGTTTTCTTCGCAGTGAAAAGACGTGTCCGTACAAGCAAACGTTCTACAACATGTCTAGTTCCTGCTGAGTGACTGCAGTTCCTTGTTGTCAACTTTTTGCTTTGCGTCTATTCGTGAATGAATATTTTCAGTTCCTCTTATTCTGTGCGACTGTCCGACAATCAAACCAGGAATTCAGACGTAATCGTGTGGGTTGGAATAAAGCCCATCCGCCGGCTGTGGACGTGAGTGAGAATTATATATAACATATGGAAAGTTCAAGGGTGAACTACAGTCGAGACTTTGTATAATTGGAATCAGAAAATTAAAAGTCTTTTCTTTCTTTATGCCGAATTGATCAATTCGTGTTTGACGCGCAATTCTTCCTCCAGTTTTTAAGCACCCGGGGGGGCAGGGGAGTTCGAGTTCACTCAATCCTCCCCCAATTAAAATCCCATAGAAATTTCCCAGGAGAGATAATCGCTTGCCAACTTCCCAATATTTATGTGTCCAATGATTAATTATAAATACTCTTAAAAGCATAATATGCAATGTACTCTGATTAGGGGAATATTGCATGACCTCGAAGTCATGATAAAATCCTTAGCAGAATCCAGAAAACTTTGACAATCCATTTTTAGGGATCTATAGTTTCAGATCTACAATCTATTCTGACGACCACAATAGCATTCGATACGAATTAGAAGCATTTTCTAGATTTTTTCAACCGAACAAACAGCAATGATGAATGCGGGAAACTATTTGTTAATCCCTAAGACGACACATTAGGCGATATTATCCCCCTTAATCTTCGCCACAGAACATTTCAAATATCAACATTTCATATTAAGTACATTTCAACATTGTGCGTTTGTTTTGTCCAGCCTTCAGGCTCCGTCCTGGGCCATTTTCGACATCTAATGACGTGAGGATCGAAACGAAATGACATTCACTGTGTGAGGCCGTCACTGACACCGGTTGTAGCTGTAATCCTAACCGCGCTGAGAGCTCGACCCGGTGAACGAGGCCTATATCTAATTCGGTCGTTTTTCAAACACACCCGTGTAAGGCTATCTATCCGTTCCAGCCACCGAGCATGCGCGAATACCTATTCCTGGTTGAAGCCTCATATAGCTAACACTAGTCCTATCTGGCTTGCAGAGGAATTTTAGACATATATATTTCATAATTACTCTTAAAAACCCCCGTGTACTGAAGCGTGCCTATTTTTATTGTGTGCAGATCTTTTTTAAGATTTGATCGTATCAAATTTGAAAAGTTTCTGAAATTTCATCAATCTCAAACATTCATAATTGATATGGAAATCGAATTTAGGGTAAAGAGTGTTTTCACTTGTGTATTTTTCATAAAGTGCTTACGACAGTTTTGGAGAGGTCGCGGCCAGTTTAGTATGTTAAAATCCATTTTTGTTAACAATACATCATTTTGATAACAAAATGACCAAAAAAATGAAATTAATCTCTATTCATGTCTTAGAAACTAATTAAGCTCTAAAGTTCACCATCGTTTTTAGTATTATTAGCAAATGTAATGCAAGTTTGTCAGTCTGGCTTAAAATGATTTAATTAAGGTAAAATTAAGGTGTACCGTATATCAAATATACGTACTGTGTTTATATGCATGCAAATGATCACATCTCCTTCAACTTCAAAAAATTGGATCATTTTTATAATCTTTAGCGGTTTCCGAAGGCCATTTCGGATATGACCGAAGCAAAAAAAATTCTATTCCGTCATTCTGTGCCCAATTTTGATCTTCATTGAATGGAACCTCTTAGAAGACGTAAATTTTGAGGAAATTTGCCACTTCCCTTTGTATATACATTGAATGTATTCGATAAACTTTGATCTTTTATCATCGCTGACTATAATGCTGCTTTTAGAAAGGATTACCTCTATTTACTTTAGTTAGGGTTTTATTTAACTCCAGGCTAGAACTTTGAATATTATATAAAATGAATTCAGCATTACTGATTTTTATTAGCTAGTTTGTCCGGCAGTTTTGCTCTAAGTTGAAATATTTTTTTAAAAATTGATCCATAGATTCAGAAGGAAATGTAAATTAAGCTTTGTATCGACTGTTTTCGATCAACTCACGATCATAATTTGTGTCCATTAGCAAAATTACAAGGGAAATTATCCCCCACATTAGGACGCTTGTTTGGAATTTAATTAATCAAAATTTTTGTCATGGGGGTCTTGATACTCTCACCGCGGTTTTCCAACTAGACTATACATGTCATTGGCTCCACGGAAGACCCCTGAATGAGATATTTTGACAAGCTGAGAATGCACGTTAGCCAGGCCCTGATCTATATCCTAATTGTTCTTCTTATTCGCATGCAAAAAACACGATATAGTTCAGCCTATGTAGAATTGTGGTAAATGGCGTATTGTCGAAGTTCATAGTTGCAAATAAATTTCATATATAGGCATAGTCCTGGTTATGGTTGGTATTGAAAAACTATGACATAAACGCCATGCAGTGCATGATATCCAAATAATTCGTCGTTATATGAAAAAAAAACGGAATTCGAAGAGTACAGCCATATTAAAGTTGAACATTTGAAAGGAAAACGCAATTTAAAGACGTTTTTAAACGTAAATCACTTCGACTTCATATGAAAATCTTATGACGACTTTGACATATACAGTCGAGGGGGAAATTCACACGTCCATCTAAAAGCCTTGATTCAAATTCTCGAATTTCAAGATGGCCGCCTTTCGGAATTCGATTTTCTTTTCGTCTTCTTTTTTAACAATTTGTCTTGGTCAATTTGCTTCGAATAAATCTGGTTCGAATTAATATATATCAATTCATCATATACGAATTCGAAAAATCGGTGATGGATTTTAACCTTGCACGATT